GTTGTTCGTCTAAGAGGTCCACTCCATCCTTTTTGACTTCATTTACGCTCGCATGTACTCATTGGCGTTTGGACGTCGCGACGCAGAAGTTGCACTCTCGCTATCAGTAGTAGAGCTTACATTTCCATCAGATCCACAGTTTTTTAATGCCCCTGCAACTCTACACAGCTCATACGCCATTATATTAGCATATTTCTCCACATACTGCCGCGTATTGTCACAGGTAATATATTTTACGTCATAGCTTACGCCTATATATTTGTCACTGACTTGTATGTCGTAACTTACCAGATTTGAAATGTACGTGGGCAAGCGTGATGCTAGCGGCTCTGAGAAAGCTTCATTTGACCACAACGCCGGTGCTGGAGCAGTCGTTCGCAACCTGCAAATTTGGCTTCAGGGTTCAGACGCTCGGCGACCGTGGCACACAGTAGTTGTTGACAGATTCTACCCCTCGATCTTGCTGGCAATTGAGCTCCTCGCAATGAACGTGTATGTCATCGGCACGATTATGACCAACCGGCTCGGCTTCGACCAAAAAATTAAAGATGTACGCAAGACACGTCCCGCGACAATTTCCCATGGAGAATATACGTTTTCGCGCTCTGTGGCCGTGCCCAGTATGATTGCGTTCAAGTGGTGGGATAAGAAACCAGTTCATTATCTTTGCACGGGCTCTTCGATTGCAAAGGAGAGTGTGAAAAGAAAGATCAAGCGTGTTGGCGAAGTGACCGTCTCGTGTCCGGCAGCAGTGAAGGACTATCAACGCTGGATGGGCGGAGTTGACGTTCATGACCAACTCCGCCTCCAGAAATACTCCCTGCAGACTTCTACGAGGTTCCGGAAATACTACAAGAGCTTGTTTTTGGGAATCGTTGACCTGGCACTTGTGAATGCCTCTATTTCACACCGAGAGACGGCAAGAATCAACAGAACGGCGGCGATACCTCGTGGCATGTGGTATGGCATCCTTCAGAACCAGCTTTTGCAGCTCAGGGCTGAAGATTTTGCTGGTGTGATTCCAACCCCGCCTCCAAATACCAAACGCAAGCGGACACCCCTCCGTATAACCCACGCGCCCGAGCAAGCTGACGATTGGGTGACTGTTAGTGGCGTTCAGAAGCGTCGCCAGCGGTCTTGTAAGGTGTCGCACTCTTACGAACGGACCGAAAGAAGAAATCGTTTGCGACGACGTTCTTTTGTGAGCGGTGTTCTGTGGATGATGCTAAGTGCTGGTTGTGCAACAAAATACGCCGTGAGTACAAGGGGGTAGCAAAAACCTGTTTTGCCATTTGGCACGACGAGTTTGGTTGTGGGCAAGCGATTCCATCTACGCTGGGAAAGCGAGTAGTCCTGCGTCGTCCGGGCCAGAAAGCAGGTGAGAGAAAGAAGACACGTCGTGAACTCCAGCTGCAGGACGGAGATGAGGAAGGAGAGAACGAAAATGAAACGCTGTAATAATAGCTGGATGATCTGTTGAGTGCAAGCTTTGATGAGTGTTCACCAGGAAACGATCGTAATGCACATTTTACTGAGCCACTGCACCTCTTATGCTCATAATCTGGACACATTGAACTCTTTTTGTACTGAGCTTTTTATGACACGTGGTCACTTACGACATGCAGTAGCTGATCAAAAGTGAAAAGTAGTTACATTTACGACATTGCTGGGAAAACCTGCTGAGACTTTATAGACTGGTCCATGGTCTTACTATGCACACTTTACAAATTCGAAGTGAAACGGAAAGTCGTAAGATACGACTTTGTAGTACCGTGAATAAGGCGTTTCGTGCTCTCAGATTCGGGATTGGAGGGGTTAAGGTTGAATCCACGCCTCCAAGAAGGGCGACAGTGCCTTAACTGCCATTTTTTGTCCTACTAATTTCTTCCGACGCGAAGCGGCACTTCAGTCTCTTTCTCAAGTCTTTCAAGAGTTAGTATGCGACCGGACGTCTTTGTTCTCTTCCTCTTCCTTCTTTTGCTCGGTCGTGGTGCAGGAAGCACCAAAATCGCTTGGTGCACAATTTCAGAGATCTTGACGAACGCTGTTTTGCAGTAAGATTGAGGCAAACCATTTCGCTTGAAGTTGACCAACCTGACGTGCATGTTAGGACGTGAAAGCGGGAAACTTTCACAGCTGCGAAATGAAGCGCCACAACCACCCCTCACCTACACACACCGCACACGAGCTCAGCAATCTGCTGTGCCTTGTGCTAGACATATTGCCGTCCGGCAGGATGCCCGGTCACCTGTCGCTGGAGGATCTAGTCTCTAATGCCATTTTCGGCACTCTTCGAAAGCATTGGAGGCGGCCCCACGACGCTTGGGCTCGTGAGGATTGTTTTTACGCGCAGCAGCCACGTATTTCTTTAGCGTACTACGCACGGTCTTCAGGAGAAGCGAAAGTGTGACCAGAGTATAAACTGCTGGAGGAGATCAGGTAAAAGTATGATAGCTCAATATCAATTACGATCGTCTAGCTTAATACAACAGGTTAATATAATCGAGCCTACGAAACTGGTCGAGGATACGAAACTGACACTTTACTTTATCGACTCAGGTAACAATCGCGCAATTGGGGGGGGGGGCACACCGCCAATGAATTAAAATTGGTTAGGCTGTCCAGCCAGTCTCCCAGTATAATATGGAAACTATTGCAATGTAAACTGCAGTGGATCAAACTGGTGCCAATCACTCGTCTTCAGCCTTTGCTCTAAATCCGTCTCGGATCCACAAGTGTGCTTACAGCCTATTGAAGAAGGCACTGGAATCCTTCACTCTTTTTCCCCTGAAAACTGGAGGAGCCACCAGCCGACACATCGAGTATCTTGGCGAGAACATCGGTCGGCTCGATATCCTTGTCTAGCCACTCCTGGAACTGGTTTTTTTCTGCAGTCGCATCGCTTTTTGGTACAACTAAGGTAGCGATCTCGCTCCACTAGCATCTCCGCAGGATTATTCTCGCCACCAAAACCCTTCGCTAAGGCTCCGATCCTGCAATTTTGCAAGGCTGAATAGCAGGATTTATTCCTTCGGTATATTCGTGTTCCGGCTGAAAACGACTGAAGCATCGATGTTAAATTGTAGGAGCTTGAAAACGTCCTCCACGGACACGTCGCGTTTGAGCCAACCATCCAATTGTTCCTTTGTATTCTTGTCGCGAGCTTCTCAAGAGGCGTTATTCTTTTTTTTTCAAAGCAGACGCGATGGCCTTTGCCATCTCGTCTTCGCCATAATTGGCTGTCAGTGTACCAAGCAACGTCACTTGGCTCTCCGGGTTCTTCGTGTTGATTTCCGCTAGATATTTCTGGAATGTCTTTTTGTTTCTGCGCATCAGATCTCCATGGACATTATCGTCCAGCTTGAGCAGCAGCATGACTCTGGCCAGCTCCAAGTTAATGCGATGCCACTTCCCGAGCAGCCCCCTCTCCAATTGCTCGGCCTTCCTTCTCGTAGCGAGTTTGTGATATTTCGCTTTCGATAGAAGACCAACCAAGGCGGCGTCACCTCCAAACCCTTTCGCTAACGTTTCGAGTAGAGTAGGTTCAAGAGGCGGATTCTCACGGTGAAACTTCGCAACGTAGTCGTATAGTGCAGCTAGGCTTTCAATTGCGACTGCTTAATTTCTGTAGTAGGTCTAGAAAGAAGACACACAACTGGAGGTACTCCATTAAGCTTCTGCCAAGTGTATTGGTCTCCACTGCGCAAAATCTAGACTGACTAACTGATTTTTTGTCTGTATTATACGTAAACATACTCTGTTTACTCGGCAATACATACCCTGTATATATTGCCCGTCTGAGTCCCAAGGTACTACGAAGACTACTCCGTTAGCGGCTCTCGCTGTTTCAGAGTTGTTCACCCGTTTCAAAGCTGGACGCAGCATCTGAAGGGCGTCGATACCAGTAGAGTTCTTGACGTCGAGAAGACACTGCGCCTCGTCGATGGCCACCACGAGCACCGGCCTCTTCTTTAAACTCCTTAGCACTACGTGGACAGACGTACAAAACTGCTGCATCAAATTGATTGCCTGCATCCTTGAGACAGTTGCCTTCTGACGTGCTCTCTGCTAATTTGTGAGTTTACCAGAACCCCCGACCGATACTGTATTGTGGAAAATGTTGGATCGCAGAGCTTCAGGTATTCTGCCTTACAAGTCCGAAGGAGCTTATCTCGGTATTTCGATCTTCGGTGTCGATCAAGTGTCACTCATCTTGGTCCAAGTCAGCGAGGAGGAAGACGCATCGACTGTGTTGGCGTTCAGAAGCCTCGATCCGAGCAAGGTCTTCAAGGCGAATCACCCGCTTCACGGCGTTCCTCCGCACGAGTTATTCGACTGTCCATAAGTGCGCGTGAGCGGATAACTCCTGATCGGCCTGCCCAGTGTGCCGTGCTGTCGAATGTGGCAGGAACGAGTGATCAGGTAGCGCGCTTGACTGGTTGTTATGCGTGCGGGGGATGTTCGCGCTGAGTACCGACTTAGAAGATACTAGTATCCGCTGGCCTGGTCTTTCAGTGGGGTTGGTTGGACATCTAAATACTGCGTGGTTAGATAAGAGAGCCCGAATTGAGTACGACCTCAAAAACCGCGAGCACGATGAACCAAGGCGCCTCGCACGAGTGCTTTCGAGAGAGAAAGTGAGTATAACTGTTTCGCCATACTCAAGTGAGACAAGAGGCGTTGCTTGGCACTTAGTTGGCTGAGACTGGTCTACCGAATCAGTAAATTTCAATGGTTGGAGTTGAGCTGAAGCTACCCCTTTCAACCAATCAAAATTCTGGGCGGGTACTTTAGTCGCGCGTCGTTATTTTATTATAAACAAGGATAATTTTCAGACAGACAGACACCGGGCGGATTTCACCGTCGTTGTTTGTACTTTACTAAACCGTGCATAAGCACGTGGAAGCTCTGGATTTTATCGCAAGTTAATTACTTAGTAATAATTACAAACGCTCCGTTTGAATTGATGTCGCTCGAAGGTTAGCCTAACGCACTTTGCTGGATACGCTTGATCGAGCTGGCTGTCCTCAGTTCAAGCGCTCAGAGAGCTCGCCATCAGTCTACGCAAGCGTCGAGGCGGCGGTAGAGGCAGCAGCACCGATAAGCGCTCTGTGTTGAACTGGCTACGCAGCTTGAGTGGCGCAGAGCTGGCGTCTCTTCGCTGCGTGGAGGACGTAGGTTTCGTCAAGACGCTGCTGCACATGGCTGCGTGTTCCAGAGCTTCAGTAGGAGGTGGTACGTGTGTACAGGAGCTCCAGCTATTGTCACATACGCTTAGTGATACTGGTAGCGTCCAGAATAAGCGCGTAGCAGCCAAGACGCCTCCCAGATCCGCTGCAAGGTGAGGAATACGAAGGATTGGGACTGTTTGGAGCGGTTTTGCTGAAATTTGTGATGATTTGCAGGGCGTTTGTGAAGCGACCAGTGGTGCGTACGAAATATGGAGATATAGTGGGAAGTTTCCATACTCAGGAGTATGAGGAAGGCAGCAAGAAGGTGGTGATAGGCATGAGTGTGCTTAATACGCTGCAGTCGTGCGATACGGTGGCTCTATCGATGGAGTTTTTATCCAAGAAGGAAGGAGATGTTTCTGTTGAGTTTGTACAGTTGATGGAAGTGATTTCCAAGGGTGGATTTCTGATGGAATGTCCGGAGGATGTTACGTTGAAGCATGAGACAAAGGTGCTGCTTTGAGAGTGAAATGGATGACAAGAGGGGACACTGATACTAATTCTTGACTATCTTGTGTTGGTTGTGGCAGTGGCTTAAGGAGCAAGGACATTGTTCATTACAAGCTCTGTTCATGAATGAAATTGTGGGTATTTCTTGCTGCTGTGAGAATTAATAATTTAGCTGAAGTTCTGACTTGTATTCTGCTATACGTTCTTCATCTGGAGCTCAATATTTGGGCATTTTGAAAGCAGTATAAGAAAGACGTGAGCGTGAAGATTCCTATGCAGGGGATCGCGTCTAAGTTTATTTTGTGCGCGAGTGGGAGGTGGCAAGGGTGAGACAGAAAACTGAAGCGTTGAAAGTGTTGCGTGATAAGACGTTTTCGCACATTTGCGACCTGGAGAAGTCAATGCCGAGTAATTCTTCTGCAGTAGCCAAATGTTTCGGTCTTCATTAGCACGTAAATTCC